AAAAAATGATGTCCTACATTACTCACACGGTCGAAAGTTGGGGCGTCCATATGGGAGTGTGGCACTTATCTTCATTCCCAGAAACGTATCCGGCCTGAAATATCGCCGTGAAGAACCCAATAAATGCAGCTTGTCATTCTTCCAGCGTGGAAGACCTTTGTTAGTTGTTAGGAAGGACATGAAATGTTGCATAAACACGCATTGTGAACGTTTCAAAAACAAGTCATGACGAAACTTGGCATAAGATGCCATTCGCTCTGCTTGTGGCGGAGGTAGAGGGGACTCACCCGACACAACTTTGCTGCGATTCATATATTCGTGGGTGTCATGGCTAGGGATCGTCGGTGCAGACCAGGTTGACGTTGCCTTGACGTTTTCTACGATCTGTTGCAACACGGGTGGACGGTACCCCCTCTTGCACAAGGTCGGTTGCCCGAAACACCGAGCAGATATGACAAGGTTCCTTAAGTTGAAGGTTGTGGCCATTTCGACCGTGGACAAGGTGCCTACAAGGTCCCTGAGGAGGAAACCTTGACGCAACAAGGGCACATGACACCTTGGTGCCGGCCTCACAACCTCTGACACCTTGCACATGTGCTACAAGGCCGAATTCTGGAACCTTGTATTATATGCTCGGTGCAAGGGGGGTTACCGTCCACCTGTGAAGCCTCAATTCTTTGCTTTTCCTGTTGTCCTTCGTTTGTCGTCTGCCAGCCGTGTACATGCTAATCCAGGTGCTATATAAAACTGGAGCTGTGACGGAGACGCGCACTCTTCATCTCTTCTTGGAAATACTGACGCTGGTTGTCATGCTCAATGTTTTGTTTTGGATGTGAGTGGCAGTACGCGTTTAGCGGCAACCGATCTGTTGCATCAAAGATCGTGCTGAGGTAACCGCACCAGTTGTGGCTATCACAGACTACCGCCTGCTCAAGCTAATTGTTTTCAGGGCATCCGCGTGAAGCTCGCGGTAGGGGCAGGCGACCCGGTTGTGTTTTGAACTGCGCATCCTTACGGCAGCAACCCGCCCCATATGCGTTTTGCGCTGCCGATCAACAATCAACACACCTTGGAAGGGTGCTGATTTCGGTGGCCATCCACGACGGTTGGTGCTGGTTCGGAACGCCAAGGGTAGTCCCAACAGAGGGTTGGGCGGTGTCGGCGTCAACGCGTTCGTCGGGTCCAACGCACGGCGATGGCGTTCTGGGGTATGCCCAGGAGGGCGGATCGGTCGCCTCCATGTTCAAGCACTTCTGCACGCGGAGCTTGTGCGCAGAGAGCTGGGATTTTATCGTCGCGGCTTGCAAATATGAGGTACCGTGCAGTCCATCGCCATGCTTTGGGGGATATGAGTTGTCGACGTCCCACAGACGTCGAGGTTGTTACACCAAGGCCATCTCAACAAGCGTTCGAACGTGAAATATATATCTAGTGTTCAAGCACACGCACGTAGATCACTCGCCTCTGCAGTTACCTTCCCCCTTGTCGCAACGAACCAATGTCTGATTGAGGCAGGAAATTTCAGACCCCGAGGAGCAGTACGAAATGTTCCTTCGCATCACGGAAGAATACTTGCAGCCAACCTCCCCTCAAGAGGTAAACATCGGCAGCAAGATGCAAGCGAAGATGGTGTCGCTGCAGGACAGCGTCAAGTTTTCGAGCCTCGACGGAGACTCCCGCCGCAACGTACTTCAAGAGCCCCTCAAAGAAATTGTGCGGATGCTCGAGGAAAACCTCCTGAACAAGTTCAAGCAAACCCCAGAAATGCGGAAGTGGCGTGAGGACCTGGAGCGCCAAGACTGGTGTGAGTCTCACTCCCGTTCATGGGCATCCACGTGTTTTGGCCGACTTTGAATTAATCATGACATGTCTTTACCCATTCCACCAGGGCAACAATCGGTCGAATCGCGCGGAAGTCCGATGCAGATGTTGTGGGTGGTCTTTTCTAGGACATGCCCGAAACGAATCCCGCCTGCCCGAAACGAGTTGTGAAAGTCGGGGAAAACAGCATCGACCCGGTACCTGCTTTTGCGACAGAACGAGATGAATAGGTTACGTTCTAAAGAGCGTACCGAGCATTGCCTGACGCCAAGGGATCCTAAAGGTGAACACTATTCTACGTGGACGTTTGCTTTTGCGATGGGATGGGATGAATCCCTAGAAGAGTACTTTCTGGCGAATAATCGAGGCAATTCCCGACGGAACAACATATGCAATGACTCCTCTATTTGGTTGAATAATTGATCTGTTAGTCATTGCACAGCCACATGTCCTCGCCCCTTACAGGTAACGCCAAGCTATTCCTTCTCTCAGGTGTGCGCTCTTAGTATCTTGTGTCGCGCTCCTCCTTCGTTTGTTGTATCCAACCTTTTCTCATCCAGTTATCGAGCAGGCGAACTCCGCGGCGGCGGAGGGCGACGAAAACATGCGGCAGCAGCTACTAACGGCGAGCAGCCTTTTCTCTCGAAGTGGGATTGAGGAAGGGGACCCATGATACTTCGTATACTTCTGCCGCCATCGTCAGGAGGTCATTTGGACACCCCTGGACGGTGCAAGTTCTGTGAGGGTTGTGGCGCGCTCTCTTTCTCGTCGTCGGTATTGAATGTCTTATATTTTATCGCAGAACATCATCTCGTCGAGGAGACGGACCGTCTTAAAAGCCTCCTTAATCGAGTACACAATACCAGTTCGTCTTGACCTGCTCCTGTGTGTATTTGGTGTTGCCGTGGTCTCTCGAATCACCTCCATTTTCAGAAACGATTCGTTTTTTTCGTCCTTGGCGTGCATCATCACCGTAGGTCCGTATCTGGCCCCCTTAGCCGAGATTGACAGAGCAAACAACCCTGCTTTCATGTACTTCCAGCATGATGATCATTGACGATGTACCAAGAAGTCCGGTCAAGAGATCGCGAAGTGGTCATGATGTGATTTATGTTTACTCCACAGTATAGGATTATCATTTGGGGCTTGTTGGACGCGGCACTGGATAGTTGTGGCTGGCGCACACGTGTTTTTAGGTCGTTCAGTATTTCCCTCCTTGTCGCCGCCCCATACCGAAAACCTTCGTGATAGATCAGACGACGCGGCCACAGCACTTCGCGTAGCAGCCAGCCCAAAACAGCTTCACCAGCGAAGACGAAAGATGTGGGTGTCTGTAGGGCTGCCACTGCACCCGTAGCTAAAATCGCCTGTTCTACGAGGTCGGTCGGGAGAATAGTACTTGTTCTATAGTTGATGGCCCCGGCCGACCCGCCGTACCGGGCGGAGTACAGTTCTTCCTCTGGCTTGCTCGCCTACCGATACGGACGCCCATGAGCTCGGTTAACTTGACGATAGTGATCGTTTCTACGCTTACCGTCTCGTGACAGATATCAGTCGATACAGAGTAACCGGAATCCGTGCAAGCAGAAACAGCATTGGCTTCCTTGTTATTTAAAAGCACGACGCATAATGCCTGTAATCATGTCCGTGAGCCCCGCTCTGGCGCCATCGTTCAGAGAATCAATTTGCTCAGAGGCATCTTTCAGCATGTCTATACACCCTACCATTGCCGCCTTCGCCGTTGCCAGCGACTGTTCGTGGGTCTGCGAACGTTAGTGTTGGATACATGTGCTACATGTGCTGGATGATTTGGTGTCACGCAGACTGGTATGATTGCCGTTTGGTAGGGGGCACCGCGATGATTCACGGGGCCCCTCCTTGCTGTGGGGGGGGGTGTACTCATAGTCGTGCATGCCGTAGTCGTTAGACCATTGACCTCGCATCCCTACAAAGCCGGGACGGAGCACGCCGGGT